AGTGAGGAAAGGGTTCTGAGAGCCTTGGAAGTGATATTCGTGATCACCGCGAAATTCTCTATCGAATGGTGTATGAAGTGTCGAAAAATAAATTTCACTGCAAGGCTGCCCTGGGTGCATCTTATGTCTTATCCTAGAAGGATGACACTTAAGATTTGAGTCTAAAATGGTGAATTTTTCTCAGAGTTATCCTAAAAATAAGGGTAAAAAAGTAGGTGTCATTTTTCTGAAGAACTTAAACTTATATTTAAACTTCTGAAGATTAAATATAAAAAATGTGACAAAAGGAAGTTTTCAAAAATTCTCCCTCCGAAACCATGAAAATTTATCTCTGAAACAGACGGCGATATAGATTCAGAAAGTAAACACTTTGGGCTATCCAGCGATGTATAAATCTCAAAAAATAGATATATTTGACGAAAACCGACTTCTTTTAACATAGGAATCCTTAACATTTTCTTTTTCTAAATTAACTCATTGCAGATTGGTTCAGACGCTTGCTTATCAAAGTGCATAAAAAATCTACTGTAATTGAATATCTTTGTTGTTTTTGATCTGTTATTAAGACATGTCGGAATCAACGGAATATTTTTTAGAAAAAAAAGTGCTTCGCTGAGTAGTTGTTACAAAGTTTTGTCACATACAAATGCAACAAAAATCTAATCATCAATCGTGATGAGTCCTCTGTACAAAAGAAAAACAAATAAATTAAAAAGAAAAACAAAGCAAAATAATATTTGTTACTTCATTGTAAGAACAAAGATCAAATAATTAAAAAAAATTTTATTCTTATGGTCTCACTTACAATAGAAAAAAGGAATTATAAGTAAACTGATGAACGAATATGAAAACACGTTTCATAACAATTTCTTTTCGTCTCATTTCCAAAATGACTGTTGTTTGAACATATTTCATTATTGAAAATAAATAGAAATCTTAGCTGCACACGTACAGTCGATTCACTCATGTTTGAAAAGAAATAGAAGTTAAAAGAAAATGATATTTTGTTTCCTTTACAACGAATATTTTTAGTATAATCGTTAACTTGATAACAATTCGGTAGTTCAAAATTAAGTTGCAAAGCGTAAAAAAGCTATAGTATTCAGTATATTTCAAGATAGAGAATATTCAAATGTTCACTGCTCAAATTTTGTTTTATTATAGATAAACTATGACCATACTTTGTCATATATAATTTATATCCAAATAAATTGTTTTTGAGCAAACCATTTTTTTCTACTTTGATCATGAGTAATTAAAACGTTAATCATCACTTCACATTCTAGTCAACTGTAAATAAAAATGTATAATAAAAAATCAACTTGTCGTTTATCAAGATATCGTCAGACGTTTTCTTTCTTCTTTTGATTTCTATCATATATATATTATTTGAGGAATATGTTTCTTTTTATAATTATCAATTATTGCATACAATCGTATTTGCTCGACAAAAGACTCACCTATCTCTCAAGAGAGAAAAACAAATCCATAAATAATATCTTAAAAGATGCCATATATAATAGTTATCATAGACTTTAACATGTTGTTATTTTATAATTTACTGTTGCTGTTGATATTTCATACAGAATATGTGTGATTAAAACTAACTACTAAACAAAAATAATTTTATTTCTGATATTCCTAAAATTAATTGTGTGCTTTTCTTTGATTGAAATAGAGTGATTCACTACTGGAATGGAAATACGATTACTTGTTAAATATCAGAAAGTCATTATTTCTTTTCTTTAGTTATGGTCAGAGATGGTTCGAGACCTCCAGCATTAGGAGGACATTATCACTTTTTTGATTCGAGCTAGTATGAAATTTGTTTTCGCGTAAGGAATAAATTCATGTGAATACACGCGAGCAACCGTTCATTTCTATTCATTGATTATTGGGAGGGTGTCACGCACCTACACCACTCGAGCCCGCTGTTGTTATGATTTATACAAAACTTTATTCTGTCTACTTTGGACAAGTTGTTGTTTCCGCAAACGTTTCACAATCTTAGGATCTATAGTGAGTTTCTCGACATCGATGCACTTTGTGTGAAATCCAAAGAAAAAAAACTTTTAGTCTTCGCTTATTAAAACAACAAAATTGTACTTTAAACTGTTTAGAAAGAGGAGATTAACTGACACAGTCCGGAAAGAACAGACTATTTTAAAGAGAGCCTCAACCCAGGTCAAACAAATCGTATACGATCGTATCTGAATCAGACAAAATCGTACCAAATCATATGAAAATCATATATGAATCGTGGTATCTGATTTGTCCTCTGGATCGTACAATACGATCGTACAAGATTATATACGATCATACAACTTCTTATGAAATCGTATAGTACGAACCAGACAACAAATCAGATACTACCATTCGTATGTAATCGTATATGATTTCGTACCATTCGTATACGATCTTGTACGATCGGATAGTACGATTCAATCGCCTGGGAAAGTGATAACGCACAGTTCATATCATACACGGTGGTGGATTTGACTCTATAGTCTACCCTACGTTAAAATATCTAGTTCAACGAAAAGGAACCAAAGGAACATATTTATTATCGTTTTTTTTTATAAACGAGTAGACAGTCATTCGAGATTCATTTTTGAATTCGTTATCAACATAACATATAACAAATGTTATTTTGACGTTCCCGCCATTGCTCACCTTCTGTGCGGCTTTCCAAAAACTGATGAGCAAAAAAAACAGTGCGAATTGTTTTAATGTGCTTCTGATGGGGCTCTTTTTCTGAAAATCTACCTCTATCTCTCAAAAGAATTTACAGATCTGCATGTGCCTGAGGTGAACTTGTATTCCGTAAATTAGAAAATAATAATCAATATTCGTCAAAACAAATTAAATTACACTTTTTTCTCTCTCCTCTTCTGTCCAATTAATGTCTCAAAATATCACATATTTAAATTTTTCCCTTCTCTTTTTCCCATTGGTTACATTTGCACACATTTTCGAAAACTATACTTAAACAACTACAGGCCTCCTCTTGCATCTCACATAATATGTGCAAATCGTACATCCTACAAGTAAAGAAAGAGAAAAAGAAAAAAAAGAAACAAATCATCTCTTACTCATATATAGGTGTATCCCTCAATCGAATAACATACATGCACACATAAAACAGAGCCGTAGTGGCCAAAATTGTGTCTGATGACACCCTCTGCGAGAAAATAAAGAAAGAAAATGTTGGATTGAAGCGTGAAAAAAACTTCGCTACGCTAACACTTTACGAAGAGAAATATTTTATATAAATCACTTTTCTCTCTCTCTCTTTCTCTTTTTCTCTATTATACCTCCCATACACGCACAGGTGCCACAAAATAAAAAACTATCAAGTTTTCATTTATTTTTTTTACTTTAAAACAGGACATATAGGAACTATTTTATAACTTACGCACTAAAGTCTCGAAATAAATGGTTTTTCGTCATATGTTAATGCCATCGATAACATCGCGTGATTATCTGCCGAGTTTAAATCCAATATTTGCTGGTAATCCATTTTCGTATAGAATGCATAATCCATTCACCGGTATTTGTCAGCCGTATGAAAATCAACAACAATCATTACAAAATTCAAGAAACTCTATTAAAAAATCTTACATCGAGCCCGTTGATGAAACTATTGGTAGTAATAGTCTTGGTACGAATGATGATGATGATGATCCAAAGGTGGAATTAGATAATAAACAATTATGGCATGAATTTCATAATCATGGAACAGAAATGGTCATTACAAAATCGGGAAGGTATGCATATAGTAATCTCTAACCACTGTAACTACTAACTGAAAGATTAAGATATAAGTCGAAATGATGACTATTAAGTGTAGTGTAAGATTCTCTAAAAGTCAACCACAACAAAACGAAATGTTTTCAATAAAGATTTTAATATCAAAAAGGCCATAGTAGGACGATAAATGGTGTGAAGTTAGTGCAAAAAAAGGATCTGTAACATGTCTTACAGTTCTCTTCTGATTTTTCGTCCTAATTAGTGTAAAAAAAATCTAAATAAATAGTGTTTTTAATAGTTTTTTTAAAGATCTGAACGTGGAGTTTCAGTAGTCATTTCTTCAGTTAAGAGCAAAAGTTGATTATGATAAAATTTGACGTTTACAGTATAAAAAGTGACGTTTTGTTATCTATTAGGTTTTTCTTTGAAAATAGTGTTAAACTTTATTTTAGAACCAAGAAAACATCTTAAGAGTTATGTATCGTTACTTCGATTATAGCGATAATAAATATGATCGACCATTTTGCATATCATCAAATTTCGAATTTGAGTATTCTAAATTAAAGATTTTTCTAGATACAAAAAATGTAATTGTAATAGTAAACATTTAACGCCTAAATGTATACATCATATATTTTAAATTCTTTTTATTTTGATTCTATATCTTGACATTAACCAGAAGAGTTTCTATTGGTAACAAGTGTATTCATAGCTTAAATAAGTAATGTTCTATTCAATACTGTTAAGATCAATGATCTTAGATCATTGATCACATCGTTCAGTAAAAACATGAACCATGCACAAAACAAGCCCATAGAAAAAAGTGACGATATTCTATCAAGCATGATACTTAACCGTTCAAAATACTTTGTTGTTGATCAAAACATAATCACTTTTGTCAGATATAGATAATAGAACAAATGAATTTTTATAAAAATATAAACGTTATTAGATAAAAATTCTCTACTTTATGAACTTATTTTGAGTTTTTTCTTTTCTGTTTCAGACGAATGTTTCCAGCATTTAAAGTAAAAGTAACTGGTCTTTCTGAACAAGTCAAATATGTATTTTTAATGGATATTCAAGCAGCCGATAATCATCGATATAAATTTCACAATTCTAAATGGATGATAGCTGGAAATGCTGATCCAGAAATGCCAAAACGTCTTTATGTTCATCCTGACTCACCAGCCACCGGTATTTATCTATTTTCAAATATTGTATATATTTTACTACTGTCAAATTTTCTATTATAGGCGAACAATGGATGTCTAAACTTGTATCATTTCACAAATTAAAATTAACAAATAATATTTCAGACAAAAACAGTTATGTGAGTATTTTTTATTTTGTTTTTCTTTTTGTTTTGAATGAAATGTGTTGTATATTCAACAACGTCACCGTCTATTAGTTGTCGATAAGTAACTAGGCGTAGTTAATTAATCATATATAATGACAATATCTTCTAAATAAACAAGTTAATGTTTTATGATGACTTTTTTTTAAGTATAATAGTCTATATGGCTACATATATATATATCATTACAATAAGATATCTATATTTTTAAAAACTATAATCATTCAAATTATCGATTTTACAATCAACTAATAAATTTCATCTTTCTTTCGAATTTGTACAATGTATAGGAAGATATTCTTAGTGAGTAAGAAATATCTAACTTGATATATATAGTATAAACCAAAACTTATATAGTTGACGTGGAGTAATATTTGAATGTCAATGTTCAGACTCTAATAACTAATCAGTAAATGTGATCAATATAGATGTAAACTAGTATCTTCAAATTAAGGGTAGATTACGTATCTTCTCTCTCTGATCAGAATTCAATACATATTGTCCAAAAAAAACTGCTAAAAAACAAAGGAATACTTTTAGTTAGTATTATTCAATCTAAAAAAAAAATGACATAAGAATTATTATTAGACTATAGAAAACATTTTGGGTATCAGTAAGTTTCGTACAATATTCACTTTTTTATGACCTAAACATTTGAATACTTTCCTCTATGTAAAATATATAAAATTTGAGTGTCAACTTTGTTGCATTTTCTTTTTGTTTAAAATCATCAATTTCTCTAAATTTAAAGTATGAATACATTACTTTTATCAAAAATAACACGAGAGATGTAATATAATAGTGTAAAAACAAGAGGATTTAGCGAAGTTGTTTGATTAACAGAACAGACAAAAAAAAAAGTAACGAATAGGAATAGTGACCGAGTTATAAATTAAAAAAAAGAAAAAGCACAAATAAATCAAACAAAAAAATAGATCAGAAGAATACTAGACTATTTAGTGTAAAGAAGTCATAAGAAAACGAGAATGACAAATAAGATTGACTGTAGAAAGAATTAATAAACATCTTTTGTTAATAACAAATGAGAAAGTTAATTAATAAAGATATGTCCAATCAACATAAGCGGTATATTTGTAAATAAATACTTTTTATGTTATCTTTTCTCATAATTTGTTTTTAAGATCAAATTATATAGTTTGATTAGAAACATGATTGCATCAGAGAGCCTCACATAAATTTGTTAATAAAAAAGAAACTTAGAGGAGAAAAATAAGAGAAAATTTAACGTTCTATACGCGTAAATCAGATAAGACATTATCGCGTTTCTCAATGAAGAAAATAAAAAATAAAATATATTACAATAGATATTTTAGTATTTAAGACGAACGATTCAACCAACTATTTGGAGTATGGATTACATAAGAGTTTTCAGCAATAGAAATTGTTAGTTCTGAGCATACAATGCATGGAATTTAGTCATTGAACTGTTATATGACATAAGTGTATATCTCGATAAATAAATATTTAGAATAATTTTTTCAGGCAGAAATATAAACAATGATAACTATTATAGTTGAATTTTTTCTAAGTATGAGAAAAACTCTTCTGTTTGTAATAAGGTTAAGTTGAATTTTAGTTTTATCAATTTTTTTCCAGATCTGTCCAGTGAGCACGAGACAGCACAATCGAGTCAGTCGTTTTAAATCTACTTTGTTGTTAGTTCATATATAAATCTTCTATTTTGTGTACAAATTAGAAAAACAGTTTAAAACATATGATTTAACCTTTTGTTTACGAGCGTTCTGAATTCAGAACGTTTTTTTTAAGTTTCTTGATTTCCAAATAACTTGTGACCGCAAAAAGATATCGAGATCCGACGATACAGTTTTGTCTACTGACGTCTAGTATGTTATTAATTTTGCTTGCAAGTATATGACAAGTGAAAAAGACGGAAAATATATGAAATAAGAGGAGTTTAGGTTGAGTGCGACGTCTTCTTGACAATATTTTACCTATGAATATTTTTTCCTTAATTTTTCATTACTATATTTTTACACGATTATGACGAATATTAACCACAAAAGATATGGTAGAATGGACAACCCTTGGTTCCTCACCCTTGTCTCCTTATGTATGTTTCAATAGCGGGTGCTCATTTTCAATGAATATCTCGAATCATACAATAGTTAACTCTCATACTTTGTGTGAATAATCTAAAGACATTTTAGAGTATCTGATACAATTTTGAAGTGGAAATAATATTCTTAGGCTGAGTTATGAATGTTTTTGTAAGAGGGTCTCAAACTTCAAAAGTGACTCTTGATCGTAAAATAGTTGTATTTCAGTAATAAGTAAGAGCTAACACTTTAAATTCAAATCATAAATAGAGGAGAGGCAGTGCTGCATTTTGGTGAAAAGGAAAACCTTTCATCTCTCTTGGATCAGGAGTTATTAGCATTTTACGGAAAAGAAATGAAACGTTTACATCTCACGAACCATCTAGTAAAAGAGGCCCAAACTTGGTGGGTGATCAGCATTCGGTAAGAGCTATGATCACACAAAATTAGAGCCCCTAGCTATCATGGTCGAGCAATGGTACCCAAAGGGTTAATTGATTAAATATAATGATGGTTGTTTTTAAATTCTCTTTTCTTGAAATTTCAACAGAGAGAGATCAGATACTAATGAAACTATTTTATTCTATTAGTCTAAAATGTACCAGTGCTAAAGATACGAAAATGGTATGTGTGATTAATGGAAAACGTAATCTAAATCTTGATATAAAAATAAAGTTTATCTATTTTGCATTGTTATTACAGCGAAAAGTGAAGTAGAAGATAAAAACATATTGAAAAGAACAATATGTTTGTCGTTGTTCATCGAACATATACCTATTATTTTAAACTATGAAATGTCAGTTATAATTTGTTATTAATTATATGTGTTATTTATTTAGACGATATTAAATTCAATGCATAAATATCAGCCACGATTACATATAGTGAAAACAAATGAGTTAATCAAAATACCATGGGCACCTTTTCGAACATTTATATTCAAGGAAACACAATTTATTGCTGTAACAGCATATCAAAATGAAAAAGTATGTTTAATGAGACGTATCGTTCGTTTGCTCAACTCACTTCGCTATATAACTCTAAATTATATTTATGACATTTCAGATCACACAATTGAAAATTGACAATAATCCATTTGCAAAAGGCTTTAGAGACAATGGACAAGGCAAACGCGATAAAAGGTATAGTATAGATTTTTCATTGAATAATAACAATAACGAGTGTACCTTTTTATTTTGTTCTTGCTTTTTTCATGATATATTAAAGAATAAGAAATACTTCGATTTCGATTAATAACCCTTGTAAAATGATATTTATATTATATATACAACGAATAGAAATACGTAGAGCTATACTCTATCTATTACGCAATCATACGATTCTGAAGATATGTGTGAAAATAAACAGTTTACCAGCTTCACTTATATGCTCAGGAGCGTCATTATAAACCAGAGATTCTAAACATAACTCCCACATAAAAGTATAAAAATCGCGATAGCCCTATTTATATTTGTCTAAAAAATGAGAATAGTATTCGAGCATTACTATAGTAAATACTTGTTAAGCTAGCATAAAAATCTCTTTGAACTAACATTCTCTGAAACATTACAAAAGGTGCAAAAAGAAAGTTTTCTACACTCAAAATAGTCTGAATAATAATAAAATAGTATTGTTAACGGATATTGTGTAATTCTGAAATGGAAATATCACATTTGCATCTATATGGCCATTTTTTTCGATGAGGTATATCTGTATGTTATATGTTTTTTTTTCTAAATTATAATTATAAACGTTAATTGATGTATTCAATAGGTCGCATTATCTAAAGAGATTTTAGTCATCTTATTGAAGTTTAATCCACTTTCATTTCATTAGTACAGTCTTAAGTTTTCACTATTTCAATAAGACACCATAAATATGAACCAGTATTTTTAGGCGGAGTTGTAGTGTTGAATCTCTGTTCAGCTTCCGTTTGTTAATATTTGCTTAAGTGTTTCCTTTTAATTTTTCAACATTAATTGATGTTTTCTTTGATATTATACAGTTATCATATCACATACATACATATATACAGTAGTTTAATGACAACAAATTATCATTATGATGAAGAAGAATAGTTAAAAGAAGGATGTATCGTTATCATCACTTTCAATGGAGTACTCTCTTTTCTCTCTCTTTCTTAGTTGGACAGTTCATTTTAATCTAAGGTGAAAGTGTGATTGAGATATCCTATATAAATAAGATTGAGATTTTTTTTCCTTTTCGTATCCGGAGGGGAAACGATCAAATGTTAAGTTAATGAACGATCAAAGTTTATTTAAAAATCGCTTCATTTTTTGATGTGTCACGTTCAATATCGAATCAATATTTTACTGATTATATTCTTTGTATTATGTATTCTTGTTCTCCAATTGTCGGTCTACGTGTTGATGAAAACTTAGAGATACAGTAAATTCTGAAATAAATGATTTGATTGGGGTGTTAGTTTTTTGCTTCTATTTTCTAGCTCTTAGTATTCTTTTATCAAGATTATAAGAAGCAAAAATTTCGTCACTAATATAGTTTTTGAAAAAGTTTCCTGTATTTTACCTGCGTGCACTAAATACTAGTATGTACTCTCTTTATGATATTTATTTCAAGTGACTAAGACTCACACTAACCGTAGCTTTCTGAATGTGACCAAAATTTAAGCCAGTTAGTATAAAAGTGAAAACGCAGATCAATGTAACTTTACTCGTTCCAATTTGCACAACTTTTACACTAACTGGCTTAAATTTTGGTCGTATTCAGGAAGCAGCCCATAGTAACTACTATAGATAATTGCTTTATAATGTTTCTTAATCAAACTTATCTATCACCAACAATCATATGGAAAAAATATTGTTTGATACGTTGAACAAATCTGTTGTGTTGCTTTAAAAAGTGGCAAGAGTTTGTTAGACCGGATCTATCTTCTTCGTGTTCACAATTACACATTTTGTCTTTTAATGTGCGTGGTTTTGACTTGAAGATGCAAGAAGTCTTATATTTGTCTCTATCTTTCAATTTCGATATAATGATACTGCGAGAAGTTGGTTCTGTCGATTTTTCTCTTTTACCTCAGATATTTCCCAAACATCGTTATTTTTATCAAAAAGGTGAAAATAGTCATGGAGGCGTAATCCTGTTGCTTAGGAATGACTTAAAAGTTAAACGAATAGATTGTGAGATTCCTAATGTTTGTGGTGTAGACGTTGAATTGGAAGAATCTCTCAGGATATTTGGAATCTATAGCTCAGAAAGTAAAACCTGGAG